ACCCCCACAATACTAAATTAATATATCACAATTTATTATCAGTCTTATAATAACACACAATCCAATTTTGAATGACTGCAAGTTGATATAGAAACCAGTTTGGTGTAGTGGTTAAGGTACTAGCCTAGAAAGCAAGAGACTGTGTGTTCAAGTCCTACTCTAGCCATGAAAGCCATCTGGGTGACTTTGGGCCAGGCACTCTTTCTCAACCCACCTCAGATTGTTGTTATGGGGAAAATAGGAGGAGGAAGGTGGGTTGGATATGTTCATCATAAGGTACACAACAGCTTTGGTTACATTTTTTCTGGGTATTTTTTTATCCCATAGGAGGCCAGTTTCAGAGATTTTAAGTTTGTTGATTTGATTGGACTGAATAGGACTGGACTGAATTGGAATGTCCATCACTAAGCAAAATGAAAATAAGTATGATGTCCTGTGACTGGGTCACTTAGTGATGGCAGTTCTAGAAATCGATGGTTACTGTTGTTAAGCAAATGATGAAAATTGTTACATGAAGACCTCACATGACTGCGACTTTCAACTTCCTAATGATTTCCCATTAACTTGCTTGTGGGAAGCCAGCAGGGAAGGTTGCAAATCTTGATTTCATGACACTGTGATAGTTAGAAATCTGGGCTGGCTATGCAATCTTCAGATCATGGCATGTGGCCATGGGAATGCTGCAACTTCTTGCAGGAAAAAAAAATCTTGCAAAGTTGGAACTGATTGATTGAACTTTTTAGTCCCACCCAGTCTGCCGTTACCATCGCAGCCACGCCCAGCCAATGGGCCACACCCAGCTAATGGCCACACCTACCCGACGCTCAACAATGCATAAGTGGGTTTTGGGTTGCAGTTTGGGCACTCAGTCTCTAAAAGGTTCGTCATCACTGTTGTAGGATTATATCCAAACTCCCCCAATCCAGGAGTCATATAAACTCAATCCCTTGTTTGTAAATTCAAAAAATTTAAATCTGAAAAGAGCTTTCTAAACTGGTCAGTCTGGAACTGGACTGGAAATCCAGGCAAATGCTATTTCTTGCAGATATTCCAAAGCAGCATTGTTGCTCATTGTCATGGTATTGTTTGTAATCAGTCTGTGCAATTATTATTATGATTATGGTTCATTACACAATCAGTGAGATGTTTAGACTGGATTTGGAATTTTATCCACCTATTGAGACCTTCTTGAGGATCTGCAATAGACAGATATTGTTGTTTGATGGTATTAAAGATATTACCACAAAATGTAAGCTGTTCCAAGTAAAGCTGCCTTTTGCAATTGATTGGGGGTGATTTACTATTACCGGTACATAAACAAAATTGTGAAATCACAGCTGCCAGTTTTTTAACTGCTGTTGACCTTCATACACATCAAGTTCTTCCCAAGAATGTAGGATATCATAATGTATCAGCATATGTGTGCAGATTTAAAGTGTAGTCTTTTGTAATTGACATATGAAAATTTTGCCAATGTGCATATTTTCTAAATGCTATCCAAGATTTTTTGTTATGGCACCCAGTGTACTGATAAACACTGGGACCACACCTGGTTTATGCCATAATCATTCAATTTTGATTTTCAGATTTTGACACTTTATAATCTTCTTCAATTATTTGTCTTCTATTCTACTATTTCCTGGTATTGCCACATCTATTATTCATACTTTATTTTTTTCAACAAAAATTGTAATGTACAGTTAAATTCACAATGTAGGACTGGTAGAAATTTAATAATTCAAGTCCTAACCAAGAACCTAAAAATTATTAGGGCAGCATCTAAGAAAATAGACAGGTCGAAGCAGGGTAGATTTTTTGTTGTTGTAACATTAGGGTATTCAGTTGTAATAAATTCAATATTTCCAGATATTGAGGAAATCCTTTAAATATTGCTCTGAGAGCTCCAACCATAATTGCTATACAATGGATTTATATTTCCATAAATATTCAGCTTCAATTTGCGAGTCCTCGTATTTTGAATTTTTTTTTCAATTTTTCCCCTCAATCCTAGTATCACCCAGTAGAGCAACAGCAATTAACCAGACTTTCTTGTTTTTAATGATTCTTATATCAGGCATGTTTTTAACAAAAGTTTTTTCCAAAACCTTCTCAACTTGATTGCCCCAGTAATTTTTCCTACCTTCAAATCCAAACCACTGGCAAACTTTCCAGTGAATAATTCTGGCAGTTCAGTCATGACACAACTTGTAATCAGCTTGTGAAATTTTGCTGTAGCCACTGATCAAATAATCAATTGTTTCATCCTTTTTCTACAAAGGCAACATTTGCTGTTGTTTGTCATATGTTGAATTTTCATCTTCATGCAATTAATTGGCAAAGCTTTTGCTTGAGCCGCTATAATAAAACCTTCATTTTCTTTTTTTAACACTTATTATCTTAACCAACTCCATGTTGGGTTTTTATTGGCTTTTCCTTCTATATCTTTCAAGCATTGACTAAGTATTGGCTTGTTCTTCCAATTAATAAATCGGTTTTTAGTTATTTTCTATATTCAGCCTTTACCTTCATTATTTTCAAGAGCCTTTCTTGATTGACTTCCTTTAATAAGAATTTTTGGCTTTTTTAATGTAGTCATTCATACCATTCTTTTTTTCCTCCACAGTTTGTTTCTCCTATAAGCTCTAAGCAAATAGAGATGATCAATACCACTTTTTGGTTGCAAGCATGGTGCATTTTCATTAGTTTTCTCCTCTTCCAAACTACATTACTAGGTTTCATCTGGATCCATTCCTGCTGTATATTGAATAACAGAGACTGCTCAGGTATTAATTGCTTTAATGATGTTTCCACCATTTAGCTTTGATTTCAAAACTTTCTAAACTTTGAATATTTGTTAGAAATATTTTTTTTGATTTATATTATTGTCCTGTACTCCAAATATATGTAAAGGTAAAGGTTTCCCCTGTCCAGTTGTTTCCAACTCTAGGGAGTGGTGCTCATTACCTTTTCTTAGCCAAGGAAGCTAGCATGTGGTCATGTGGCCAACATAACTATACACCAAAGTGCACAGAACACTCTGTTACCCTCCCACCAAAATGATATCTATTTATCTACTTGCATTTGCATGCTTTCGTACTACTAGGTGGGCAGAGCTGGGACAAGAATGGGATCTTATCCCATTGCATAGCACTCACATCTCAAAGCCAGACTGTCAGCTTTCTAGCTGACAAGCTCAGCATCTTTAACCACTGAACTGTTGCACCCCCAAATATAAAACTCCAAATATAAAAACCTATATTGTATGTTGCTGAAATAAAATGTTTCCTGTAAAATCTATTTCTATCCTTTGAGAAGTAAGTGGCAGTGATTTCAATGAAGCTTTGTACTAGTAGTAGGGTTAGAGGTTTTACAGTGCAATTCTATGCGGGTCTACTCAAAAATAAATTGACTCATTCAATTACACTTTGGAAAAGTGTTCAAGAGTTACAGCTTAAGCAATTGTATTTTGCAGACTGACTTTAGATGAACTACATAAAATAAGACCTTCCAAATTAAATAGGATATTGCAAATATTTCAGTATGTACAACATATTGCATAGAGTTATAATATGCAATATTTTCTTTCTTATAAAGGTAATTTACCTTTCATAACATTAATGTATTATTTATATCATGTAAATACATATTATTTGAGCCATCTGTGAAACTTAATTTTTCATAAACAAATGTATAAGCCAACTGGTTGTCCATCACATGTGATGAGACTTGAACTTCAAGAAAGCTGGAAGTTTCTATACAGGAAAATGTAATTTTAATATCTCTTAACATGAATTAAAAACCATAGAACACAGCAAGCAGAACATGCTATTGCCTCATAAATGTATGGGCACTTTTCTTCCACAAATGTTATCCAAAACAAGAAATTCAGATTTAAAGGTAAAGTTTCAACAATTCAACCATGAGTATTTATCAATTTATCAAAACTATGCTACTAATTTAATTCTAATAAACATGAAGCATAATGTCAGTAATACATTTGTTCTTTTTTTAACAGTTACTATTTTGAATATTTTACCTGTAATTAAAAAATACCTACTTTTATTAGCCTTTTAAAAAACTGTTCCTTATTTGTTACTGTGAAAAGAAAAGAAGGTTCACTTGGCTTTAATGGCACTCCTGAATCAGCCATAGCTTTTAAGTATTAGATTGTTCCTATTTCATTGCATTTGCCTTCAGAACATTGGTGGACATAAAGGCTAAAAAAGGAAGTTCTTCATTCCCACTTTATCTCTGACTCAAATTCTCCATAATAATAATAGTAACAATACTGGACTGCATTACATGGATGCTGTGGTGAATATAATGCATCGGAAACACTAGATAACTGTTGGCAAATACTGGATTTGCAAAACCAAAAAAATAGAGAGATCTTTATGAAAGCCCAGCAGCATATTAAGCAAATTAAGCCTTACAGTATGGATACTATCTTTTTTATCACCTGAATATAATTTTTTAAAAGAGTTACATTTAAACTGTAATGTGTAATCCAAAGCTGGCATTACCCTTGTATTACAGAACAGCATGGAAAGAAAAGCTATAAACTAAAGAGTAATTTCAATCAGCAAATCAGTTGGTTTTCAATTTCTACACTTATTGGTTCACATACAAATAGAACATAGGACCAGAAAAGAGCTCAGAGCTCTTCTAGTCCAACCCTTTGCTTGAGGCAGGTGACCTTATACCATCCTGGTCAAATGAGTCCACAATCCTGTGGTTCCTTATGCATCCTCCAGGATCTATCAACATCCTATTATTTCTGAGCTAACAGTCAAAGACAATCTCCTAACTAGAAAAAATCTTGGTCCACTCTGGAGAGGAGATGCGATGGGCAGGCGGGTCGCGGATTTCCGCCAATTGCCCTGTGACAGATAGAGCGCCCCCCAACGCTTATGATCGGAAAAGGTGGACCAAACATCCCGAGACCCGCCAGATCGGCTGTTTATCTGTGTCACTGTGCCAAGCGCCGCCTCGTTGCTTACCTGAGGTGCCCCTGCCGAGAGAAGAAGTGGGCGCGTGTGCCCAGGAGGCGCCAAACACCACTGCTGCTGCTGCTATCCGCGGTGGCGACCAGGGTCCGCGGGCTGTCCTCTCCGCCGCTCTCGAGTTTGATTCGGCCACTGTCCCCTGAGCTTCTGCGGTTCTTCCCCTCCTGCCAAGGGCCGGGTAAATGCTCCCTCGCGCACGCCAATGCTTCGGGGAAATGGGGCTCCGGCGATTTTTTGAACCCAGATTTGTTGGTAAAGCTGTCGCCGCGGTTACTTCTGCGCCCGCTTTTTCTCATGATGTGAGGGGACGCCGCATGCCGTGTTGCGGCTTCCTCCCAGCGCCGGCAGCGCAGTCCCGTGAGGGACGGAAAGAAAAGCCCGGGAGAGACGCGCAAGCGGCCGCGAGCCTCCCGAGGAGGACGCTGGACACCGGGGGGTGGCGGTGGCGCCTGCTGTTGCTGCTGCTGTCGGTAGCGCAGGCTTCTCGGAGACCATTAAGTTGTAGGCGCACCGATTCTAGCAGCGGCGTTTTGGCTTGAAACTTGCTGTCCCGGCGATCCGAAGGGGACATTCTCCCAGCAGCGTCTCAGGCGCTCCCGGGAGAGAGTAAGGATGGCTGGGCTCAGATCATCGGGGGCCCTCTCGCGCCTGCTCGCTCGCGTGGCCTGCGTGCCTCCAGCGGGAATGGGAAGCGCGGGGATCTTAATGTAGTAGGGCGGGGGCGGCTGGAGCGGGAGGTTCCCTGGTGCTCGCGGCCGCTGCTGTTACTGCTTGGGAGAAATTAGCCGGAATCTCTAGCCAGAGACAAGCGAGAGCCGCGGGGCGACAGGCAAGCGACGAAATGGGTCACCGCGGACATAAAAAGCGCCGTCGGATCGCCTCCCACGGTCCGGGAACCAACCAAATAAATAAAGTAGGCTTAGCTTCGTTGAGGGGCAAGAGAGAAAGTTGCCGAGGGTGGCGGTTGAAGGAGCGCTCCCTCCCGACAGTGTCTTCCCGCTTCTCTTGTTTTTGCACAAGTGCAGGAAATGCTCCACTGACCTACATATTTTCCCAAACATCCGTGACCTCCAGCGGGAGGAGGAGAAAAGGGAGGATCTAAAAAGAAAATGTCTTTTTTGGGCTCTGGGATGAAAGCTCGAGCGAAGACAGAATCCTGGATAACGCAAATGGGGGCGGGGTGTTTTTCCCTCAACGCTGACTACAGAGAGGCAGTGAAGCAGGTAACTAATTTGCATAAAAGGCTCCCTATGCTCTAGCCAGGAGGATGTACTGGAATTTAACACACTCTTTGCGAGCTTTGTATCAGAAAGGGCTGCTACCTGTGAGAAGTTTAGATGTCTTTGAAATGTAAACTTTTTCAGATGAACTAACCAATTTACCTTTATGTCCTTCCAGATTATGGCCCTGTGAAAATAAATCAGGTTTTCATTTTTTAAAATTTAAAATTCAGATTTCATTAAAAAAAAAAAAACCAATTTCGGACTTCCTATTAAACTTCCAAGGATAAGTTTCCTAATTTTGGTAACAAGTTTCAAGATGAATTACATTTCTCTGCTGTTAGACAACGAGTAGAGTAGAGTAAAGTAGAGTAGAACAGAACAGAACAGAGTAGAACAGAACAGAACTTTGGAGGTCTTCTAGTCCAGCTCCCTGCTCAAGCAGGAAGACCTATATCATCTCACACAAGTGGCTGTCTAGTCTCTTGAAAATCTCCAGTGATGGAGCGCCCATGATTTCTGGTGGCAAGCTGTTCCACTGGTTAATTGTCCTCACTGTCAGGAAGTTTCTCCTTAATTCCAGGTTGCTTCTCACTTTGATCTGTTTCCAACCCTTGTTTCTTGTCCTTCCCTCTGGTGCTCTTCTTTGTGGCAACCTCTCAAATACTGGAATACTGCTATCATGTCTCCCCTATTTCTTCTTTTCTTTAGACTAGCCCAGTGTTTCCTAAACTTTTGACATATGTGTACCCCTTCTATAATTTTCATAACGCTGAGTACCCCTCATAAAAACATATGCTTTAATAAAAATCAAAATATATTTATTTTTTCTTTTTTTGTACATACACAAAATAAACGAAAGTTATATTATGAAGAACATTTATTTGATTCAATGAGAAGGATGAAATTGTTTATGTTGAGATGACAGATCATCATAATTTGGTTCCCTGGTTGTTAATTTTAATCTGAGATGCGGTTCCACATCCAATAGTCTGTTCCTTTTTTTCGACTTAATGTCTACAAATGCAGAAAAAGCAACTTCGCATAAATATGAAGTTGGAAAAGGCAAGATGTATTTCAGGACTATTTCTGTTAAAACCGGATACACATGTTGCATTTGTAACCAGAATGATGTTAAAGTACACTCCTTATGTTTATTTCTCAAGAATCCGTCCGAAGCTAACTCCAACAATTGCTCTTCTTCCGCATGCGACAAACCTTCTGGCATGGATGTTGTGTTAATGTTGAACGAATATCTTATCCATTCAATATTTTCGTTTAAATCAGGGAAATAGTTTTTCAAGCCAACTTGCAAACTCTCCAAATGCTGTATTATGCATTTCAAAGTATCAGCCTCAATTTTAGTAGCCGAACTTGTTATAAACTCATGAAGAGAGGGAAACGAGTCTACTTCTCCATTACCAACTCTCTTTTGCCATAATTTAGTTTTGCGATGGTAGCGTTCACTTTATCTTGAATGTGAAACAATGAAATTTCTTTGCCTTGTAACGATAAGTTGAGGCAATTTAAAACAGAGAATATATCTGCTAAATATTCTAGTTTATAAAGCCATTTCCAGTCATGTAAACAATTTCTCAACTCAAATCTATCATTAAGAAAGCATTGAAGTTCATGTCTAAGTTCGAACAATTGGTCTAGAATTTTTCCCCGAAATAGCCAACGAACATCGGTATGAAAAAAGCAGCTGGGTATGACTACTTCCCATTTCTTCACATATTTGCGAAAAAAAGTCGTGCATTCAAAGGGCGGCTTTTAATGTAGTTAATGATTTTCACGCTTTCATCCAGAACTTTCTGTAGATCAGCGGGCATCTTATGTGTTGCCAAAGCCTCTCTGTGTATGCAACAATGTGTGGATATGACATTTGGAGCAACATTTTGAATTCTTGCAACGAGTCCTTTATTAATTCCGACCATACTTTTTGCTCCATCTGTGCTTATTCCAACACATCTATTCCAATCAATTTTGTTCTCTTGCATAAATGTATTCATAACATTAAAGATATCTTCTCCTGTTGTGTGACCTAATAAAGGCTGGCAAAATAAAAAGTCGTCATGAATTTCTTGATTTTTTTCGTATCTAACAAACGCCATAAGATTTGCAAAATTCGCAATGTCGGTGGACTCATCGACTTGCAATGCATAATAACGACTTTGAGAAATATCAGATAATAACATCTGTTTTACATTATTAGACATATCAATGATTTGTCGATGAACTGTATTATTTGAGAGAGGAACGCGGTCAAAAGTTTGTTTCGCTCTATCTCCTATCATTACTTCTGCCATTATCTTGGCTGCAGGCTTGATTAAAATTTCGCCAATGGTTTCCGCTGCACTACATTTGGCAATTAAAAGTGACACGCGATACGAAGCTTCTAGTATTTTTTGATTGTCACCTCCCGTCAAACCCTGCATTACTTTTCGAGACTGATTTAAACCCTTAAATTTATTTTCAAAAAAATCTATGGGTTTATCTTTGTACTGATTATGGTTTGTCTCAAAATAGCGCTTTAAGTTGGATGGTTTCATGCTTTCATTTGTTAGATTTTCAAAACAAATGACACAAAGTGGAATAGGCTCATTTTCATCTCCAGCCCATGAGAATGCAAATTTAAAATATTCTTTGTCGTACTTGCGAGTTTTCCTTGCTTTTTTCTTAACAGGTTCTTTCAGAATTGAAATTGATTCATCTTTAATTTCATTATTTCCTGTTCGTTGATTGCTATTACAATCATTACTTTCTTTCGCTTTAGTAGTTCCAGATTTCAACCAGCGATCCATAATCTCTGTTAGGGATAAAAATTGTATTTTATAAAAATAATCAAAATCAGTGTAACTTACTAAAGCACGATAACAGGCGCCCGGAACTAACTATTAAAGAAGTAAGTTGTCTCTATAACTAAGTGCAGTATATTCACGCCGTGTCACGCCTCACAAGACTGTCTAACCCAGTGGTTCTCAACCTGTGGGTCGGGACCCCATTTGGGGTCGAACGACCATTTCACGGGAGTCGCCAAACAAGGCTGTCCGCCATTTTTCTCCCTTTTCTTTGGCCACGCCCCTGGCACCTGGTGATGTATAAGTGGTTGGGGGTCACCACAACATGGGGAACTGTATTATGGGGTCGCGGCATTAGAAAGGTTGAGAACCACTGGTCTAACCGTTGATAACACTGCAATTCTCCGGCTTTTAAACAGCTCCGAGGCTCAACGTTAACTGTTAATGTTCCCACAGTTTAAAAATGGCCGAACCAGAGCTGCGCAAAGGATGCGCAGAAGTTCCTGTCATAATGAGTTGCGATACGATGTATGATGGCCCCAGTTCCCGTGTAAAAACTGCGATACGCGCCTATTTCTTTCTTTGTTCTGTGGGCGCAGCTAAGCACGGTGCAGTGGATATTCCCACGTGATCCCCACTAAACTCCGGTGCAACGCGTACCCCCACCAAACTCTTCCCGTACCCCTGGGAGTACGCGTACCACACTTTAGGAAACACTGGACTAGCCAAACCCAAGTCCCGCAGCCGTTCTTCGTATGTTTTAGTCTCCAGGTCTTTGATCATCTTAGTTGCTCTTCTCTGATTTTTTTCCAAACTCTCAACATCTTTTTTGTGATATGATGACCAAAATTGGCTGCAGTATTCCAAGTGTGGTCTTATTAGGGTTTTATAAAGTGGTACTAATACTTCCCGTGATCTTGATTCTATGCTTCTATTTATACAACCCAGGATTGTATTAGTTTTTTTGGTTGCTGCTCTACACTGCTGGCTCATAGTCAAGTGATTTACCACTAGGACTCCAAGGTCTCTCTCACAGTTGTGCTGTTTTTGAGACAGGTTTTGCCCAATCTGTACTTGTACCTTTGATTTTTCCTCCCTAAATGTAAAACTTTGCTTTTCTCTATCTTGAATCTCATTTTGTTGAATAGGGCCCATTGTTCAAGTTTGTCAAGATCTTTTTGGATCCCGAGTTTGTCTTCTGGGGTGTTGGCTATTCCTGTCAGTTTGGTGTCATCTGCAAATTTGATGAGTTCCCCTTCAATTCCCTCATTAAGTCATGTATGAAGATATTGAAGAGTACTGGGCCTAAGATGGAACTTTGTGGTACCCTGCTGCTTACTTCTCTCCATGTAGATGTGGTGCCATTGAGGACTACTCGTTGAGTACAGTTTGCCAGCCATCTACAGATCCATCTGATGGTGATGTTGTCTATTCCACCTTTTTCTAGCTTACCAAGGAGTAGATTGTGGTCTATTTTATCAAATACTTTACTGAAATCTAAATATACTACATCCATGGCAATTCACTGGTCTACTAGTTTAGTCACTTTATCAAAGAATGAAATAAGATTGGTTTGTCATGATCTGTTTTTAACAAACCCATGCTGGCTACTAGTTATAAATTTGTTTGCTTCTAGTTGTTCACAGATCTGTTTTTTGATTATCTTCTCTAAGATATAATTACAGTCACTATGTTTTCTCAGGAACACTGAATTCAGTGGAATTTAATTCTAGTTAGATGCATATACAATTAGTGGTTGAATTATTTATTATTAAGTTTAGCAAGGAGAGTTGTTTACTTTAAAAATCTTCATCTGAACTCAATGGGTAGAAGAGATTGAAGGTGTTGATGTGTATCCCAACATAATGCAAAACTGCAGGTTTCTCTGTTGCCTTTCCTCAAAGCATAAATAGTAACTTTATTTGGCTATGCAATGCCATTGTCAGTTTGAGTAAAAGCTTTCTCACAGTTATTTTGAAGAAGAAAAATATAGGTCAATATCTGTATTTCTGACTTTTATTGTTTGTTACTAATATTCCTTTTGAAAACTAGTCAATATACACTATGTGATAAAAAGCTATATAATTAGCTTGCAGTTCAAAAGAATGAACTAGGTTTTGTTTATGTTA